ACCCCCCCCCCACAGTGCCCCCCCCCCCCCCCCAAGTGTAAAAATAAGATACATTAATGCACTCGGTTTCCATTTCCTTCTTGTTCTCCTCCACATTCCCACTGTCCAAACTTATCCGACACTCCAGAGCACGCAATGTTGCATAAAGTCTGATTTATTTGTATAGGCAGTAAAGTGTAGTTTACAGCTTATCCCTGTAAGACAAGTGTGTTTAGATGTTGACTAGAAAGTAGCAGAATCACTGCTGTCTAGAAGAAAGACACTAGGGGAAACCCATCTGCAGAACTGCATCAGACTATTGTGGCTCCCACCACTGACTTGGATACTGCTGGGGTAAAATAGAGTATCTCCATCTTTCCCATCCTGACCAGCAGCTACAATCACATTAATCTATTGCCACAGAAAAGGAAATTGTACTCCCATGGTTTGTACATTACACTCCTCTCCCTACACTGTCCCTGCCAGTATTTCCTTACTTTCTATTAACTAAGCAAAAGTACCTCAAGTTCTTTCCTCGGTATCATAAAAACCCTCAAACAAATAATCACATCTGTGACTACGCATCAGGTCTGTTTTTTTCCTGTCAATCACAGATACTACCACAGCAGAAAGCTGCTGCTGCAATTTAGAGCTGCTTCCCAGGACTTTGCTGCCATCCATTAATACAACTCAGCTGAGGGATCATGCGATTACTTCCACTGTACTTCAGATCTGAATCTGCTTACTTTAATTCTCATTTCAGTCCACTAGCTGAACTATGAGAACATACACAGTCTGAAAATACGAGAAAATTTAAGACCCTTGTAGGTTAACCAAGCAATCCTGTTACTTTTCAGGCATCTTCAATATTTGCAGTATCAAGACTCGTCAATATACTGCCTGTATTCTACACTGAAGCTTAACATTCCCTTTCCCTCAACCTCCATGTTGTAATTGCTACACACTGATCATTTTAGAAGTCCAAGTTCAATAAAATGCCTGAAAACATAAAAGATTATGGCTTGTGAGCTGCTTGTAGTACTTTAGCACATCTTCAGAAGAGGCATCTATCCAGTTAAGTAGGAAGTGTATGAAGGGGAACAATTTGAATAAATAGCAGACTATTTTTGCAGTGCTTAGCATGCATGTTCCCTCAGCACAGTACCAGCTTGTAGAAAAGGAAGCTCGCCATCCCCAAAACCGAACTGTCTGTAATGACTATTTTTTCTCCCTCGCTATCAAAGCCCTGAAGCACACTTTAACTAGTCTACTCCACCTCAAGATCCTCACTGCAGTAAAAACCTGTTAGGCAGGTTCAGGTAAGGTATCGTGTGCCATTGGTAAATAGCAAGAAAGACACTCACTGGGTAAGACTAGGGTTTTGTTTCAGGAAACAAGGTATTTTCAGCAGCCTGTTTTCTAGTAAGTGATACATTTAGATAAGCAATTAGGAGAACAGGCAGCCTTTTTCAGAAAGGCTCAGTGCAGTGAGTTAAAAATGAATGAGTGTCTGAAAGAGCAGGCAGCCTCATGTCTGCTAAAGTGCAATGGTCCATGAGTAAGAACTGGAATTTGCTTTTATTAATTGCAGGTGGTTAGAATAAAAACTCTGAGGAATATCTCAAAGCTGAAGATCATTCAACACATAATCTTCTGCAGCATTTGATATTTAACAGTATGTTAATGCATTTTAATGTAATTTCATTCAGAATGCTTGAGAAGTCAAATACATTTCTTGGATGAGCTGTTAGTTAACAAACTACCCACAGAACTATGACCAGAAGGGCATGCAGTACATCAGAGAAAGTACAACTACATATTGAAAACACTGCATAACTGTAATTTTGCACCTCTGGAAAAGTTCTTTTTAACCACATAGCAATTAAACTTCCCTGAGCCTGGAGTTGTGGCAAATGCCACGGTTTCAGCTTCGCACTGCTTCTTTAAACACACCAGAGCAGACAAAATCAGAGGCTAAGATAGAGGATGCCATACACATTACTTAGCCAAATTATGCCTGCAGTATAGTAATACATTTATTTCACTTCTACATACCAGCACTTACCACATAAGACTCCCACAGTAAAAAAAATAACACTCAAAACTTTTCAAGTAGCATAACCAAACAGTTGCTGGGCACAGTCGTTTTGTGAATCTGTACCCAAATAACACCAGCAGCCATGAAGGTTACCTCAAGAAAATTTAATTCTCTGTCCCCTCTCTGCACAGCACATCAAGATAGAGGTACAGAAGGCAAGTGTTGTCTCTGTAACTATTATGTCTCCCGAGGATGTTTGCATCTTGTTTTAAGTGCATGTTCTAAGGAGATACAAACATGGTGCTGCTACCAATTACACACTGCATTACACAGATAAAATCAGTCAAAATACTAACGCTAAAGCACAAGCTAACACCCCTAACAATTGCAGGTTTACCAAAAAGCTTTTTCCTAGTAGCTTTCTGCACCTTGTTTTATTTGCTTAGACACCTGTGTCAAGCAAAACTGGTGCATTTACAAAGACAACTTATTTACTACCAAGAGCATGTCTCCATTTAAAGGAAAGTGTACTTGACACTGGCCTAAGCATTAACTCCACCTCTAATACAACTAGAAACCCTATAACCCCAGAATTCCTAGCCTAGTATTAATACATTAGTTGTATCAGTCACAGAAGAATAAAAATTGATCAATTCGTTAAGTCCAAGATAATCCCCTCTTG